ACGGGGCCGGAGTGGAGGCGGCGGCTGCCCCATGGAGTGTTACTACTTTGTCATCAGCTCCGCGCACCTCAGCAATGGGCACTTTCGCAACATCAAGGGAGTTTTCCGAGGGCCCCTCAGCAAGAACGGGAACAAAACTCTGGTAATGTCTCTTTTTCTCCTCCCCGCTCCCCCTGCAGCGCCTCGGAGGGCAGGTGGTGGCTCTGCATGGCCGTCGATGCAGGGCGCTGAAGTCCTGGACAGGTCTTTGTAGCGTGGGGCTTTATAGTGGAGTAAGCACCTGGCTCCATCTCCGGTGGCAGGTTGGTTGAATGTATGAGCCCTGAGACTCCCTTCTTGGGCTAGGAGTTCCCACTCATTTTACAGTCACTCGGACTCTCTGTGCGCTCCCCAAGAGTTCCCTGCATGTTTTTCAGGCTCCCTACCTGGGTAAGGAATCACTTTCACTCCTTTAACCTGGGATTACAGAGTCTTTAACAAGAGGGAAACTTATCTGGTGGTGTCCCTCACGCGCATCTCAGTAAAATGATTGGGCTCTCCGATTTGGATTCAAGTACGCTAAGTAATGTCACCTATCCAAGATGTCTATGCCAATCAGAAAATCTTTGGTTTTTAGAAAATAAGGTAAAAGATGCAGAAAGACATATTTTTGAGGCCCGAAGAGCAGAATGATTCAATTGTTCAGGAATGATTTGAGAATCCACCTCATTGGTTTAAAGGGTTTTAAGAAGGAACTCATCAGAGTTTGGTTAGATACACTGTAAAGTCTTTGGTACATAGCCTGTGCATTAAGATTATATTTGTATAAAATGTTCAGGACTTCATGTATTGGTTTGTCATCTTTCCAGGTTCCAGTAGTTTTGCTGATTTGATTGTGCTCAGAGTGTTATGGTTTCTGGATTTGGTGGGTATGAAGGCTTTATACTAGTGTGGGGAGAATAAGAATAAATGTCCAGGCTTACAGTGCCACACTGCCCATTAAAATATGGGTAATGTAGGAAGACTACAAAAATATAAAAGCTCAATAAAACAAAGTATTAACTAATGCCTGCGGTTTATTACAGAGCTAAAAGTAGGATTTATCACTCTCGGAGTCCTCCATCACCTTCTTATTCTGAAATTTCCTTTTGTTAAAATGGACCAGTACTTGTCCATTGTATACTTCTTGGAACGCATGACCTGTATTAACATTTGCTGAAGTTGGCATGCTTGCAGTTTCTCCCTAAATAAAGAGATTAAAGCAAGCTTTTGAGCCAAGCCATAAAAATAGTAACTACAAGAGTATCTGAAACTCTTTGATTTGTTCAAAACTAAAGGGCTTTTGATTTTGGGAAATTGATGCAAGAGTTATTTCACTGGCATATACTTTACATTCTTCTAATAAGAAAGTATCCCATTCCCTGAAATTAAGCAGTTAATGATAGAATTCTTGTGATCATAGTCTATATCTATATATAATTATATAAAAAATCCATTATAAAAATGTTTGACCATTTTTAAAATAACTGTACAGTTGGTACAACAAAGTGCCTATATTAAACTGACTACTGAATTACTGGAGGAAAGATGGGTCCGGGAAGATTAATTGATTAAAAAGTCTGATACAACTTTTGAACTCTGTGTTTATAAAGAATTATCTATAATTTATATAGGTATTAAATGTCAGTAATACTATAATAACCTCTCTTGAATATCTGACAACATCCTTTTTAATCTTTATGTAATAAAATAGCATATATTATCACCAATTCTGTTTATTTTAAATTCAGGTAATTAGTAACTAAAACAATATTGGAAAGGAAGCAGATGTGTTTAATTTATAATTTCAATGAAGTGAATTGCATAGGATTTCAAACAGTTATTTTTATTCTGAAAGTAAAAGTAAAGTTACACTGATAATTGGCAAGAGTTTAATGTGAATCTTTCTGTCCCTTTTGTAATACTCAGTTTGGAATATAACTATAAAATAAGTACCCAGAACAAAAGTTTCTAGTGTTTTATTTTTAAAGAAAATTTCAATTCTTAGTTTGATGTATATTCTTCATAATAAATCCTTTAACATATGAAACAAATGACATAAAGTATAAATACCAGGAGTAATTTTTTCTTTGAGTAATTTCAAATTTAAATATTATTTAGCTATGTTCTGATCTGATTTGTCCGTATAAGAAGGATTTTACAGTTAATTTTTATCAAGGAGGAGTTAAAGCACTATAAACAATAAGGAAAAGCTGCAAAAACTCTACCTCATGCTCTGAACAATAATGAACGCTTTACTCAGTTTCTGTTTTCAAATCAATATTTCACAGAGAATCAATCATTTTGAATATAAATAGAGTTCAGTAATGTGTTAAATATGTAAATGTTTGTTTTAAGGTAAATTCTATATTATGGCTTTGGGGGTTTTCATAACAATACACTGTCTCTTATTATAGAGTGTCTTCCGACCCCCTCCCCTCCCTTTTACCTTCTTCTGAAATGAACTAATCAATTTTTAAATAGAAAAGGTACAGTGTTGGCAGAGCCGAGCCTTTCTATTTTGCTTTAAGTCATTCAGTTCATTGTCATTTATACCTCTAACCCAAAAGCTAAAGTTGCCAACCCTCCAGGATTGTCCTGGAGTCCCCAGGAATTAAAGATTAATCTTTAATTAAAGATTAATGTCATGTGATGAAACCTCTAGGAATATGGCCAACCAAAATTGGCAACCTTACCAAAAGCAGATTGTCAAAGTGACGGTTTCTTTGTGAGTTGGGGAGAACACTAAAGCAACTGTTTATATAGTGTTGAATCATTTCTGTGCAAAAGTTGGCATATATTAAGCCTTACTTTTCTATGCCCTGTAGGGATTAATTATAATATTCTGCAAGGAAACAGGAGACTATATTTGCTAAAGTTATCAAGGACAGCTCTCCATAATCAGGAAATAGAGTCAACACACAAAGAAAGAAGTGGGGATGGCTTTTTATCCCTAATTTTGTGACACCGAAATAAACAATCTGATTCAGTAGGATGGAAACAATTTACTGATTTTTTTTTTTTTTTAAAGCCCATCTGCCAAACTAGGACTCAAGCGGCAGGAGCTCAGAGCTGATGATGGAATGTTTTAATTTTGGAGTAGTTTGTTCCACTGGCCAATAGGGGTCAATGCTGAGCAGCATTTCTTGCTGCCTGCAAACTGCTCTTGCTGCCCCTTGCAGGTTCTTCTATTTCTCTCTGTACTTTGCTTATCTGCATGGCAGAGTGAAAAGGCTGACAAGAGATCACTTGTGACCAAGCCCTCGTGCTCCCTTGGATGAGAAGGAGAGGCAGAGAAACTACCCTGTAGATAGCAAATATCCCCTGGGCTTCTCCTGCTCTTCTTCTGGTGGGAAGGAAGAAAAAGGCAGAGCCTCACAACTTCTTTGTTTGGGAGAAGAAGCAGAGGGGTCCTCAAGGGCTTCCTATGAAGGTTGGCTGGGGAGGCGACATGAGGCTAAGAGTTCCTCTCCCCTTTGTGGAGAAAGTTTAGCTCCCCCCTTTCCTCATGGGAGGGAGGAAGTTCATCTATGGGCACAGAAGTGGGTAAGAGGGGGAAAAATCAATAGCTTCTTTGCCCTCCTCTGGGATATAACACTTCCCCAGGGTATCAGTAACTCCTGCTGACAGCTCCTCATTTTGACAGATATGGCAATTTCCCCAATATCTTGGAAAAATATTACTGTAATAAGTTTTAAGTAGGTCTAGAGTCCATTGTATTGAAAATGCAAAGTTTGTATGTCATTGCGGAATTCTTTGCAACTTCTAAAGAAGTAGGGGGGGACCCAATAAACCCAGGGAAGTATTATGATATTCAAAGGACTATTTGAAATGTGCCAGATAAGAGTGAATTTATGGGACAAATCAGTATTGATGGGTTTCCTAGGAAATCATAGAATCATAGAATCATAGAATAATAGGACTGGAAGGGACCTCAAGAGGTCATCGAGTCCAGCCCCCCGCCCTCAAGGCAGGACCAAGCTCCGTCTACACCATCCCTGACAGATGTCTATCTAACCTGTTCTTAAATATCTCCAGAGAGGGAGATTCCACCACCTCCCTTGGCAATTTATTCCAATATTTGACCACCCTGACAGTTAGGAATGTTTTCCTAATGTCCAATCTAAACCTCCCCTGCTGCACTTTAAGCCCATTACTCCATGTCCTGTCCTCAGAAACCAAGAGGAACAAATTTTCGCCTTCCTCCTTGTGACACCCTTTTAGATATTTGAAAACCACTATCATGTCCCCCCTTAATCTTCTTTTTTCCAAACTAAACAAGCCCAGTTCATGAAGCCTGGCTTCATAGGCTTCTCTAGACCTTTAATCATTCTTGTCACTCTTCTCTGTACCCTTTCCAATTTCTCCACATCTTTCTTGAAATGTGGCGCCCAGAACTGGACACAGTACTCCAGCTGAGGCCTAACTAGTGCAGAATAGAGCGGCAGAATGACTTCACGAGTTTTGCTTACAACACACCTGTTGATACAACCTAGAATCATATTTGCTTTTTTGGCAACAGCATCACACTGTTGACTCATATTCAACTTGTGGTCCACTATGACCCCTAGATCCCTTTCCGCCATGCTCCTTCCTAGACAGTCGCTTCCCATCTTGTATGTATGGAACTGATTGTTCCTTCCTAAGTGGAGCACTCTGCATTTCTCCTTATTAAACCTCATCCTGTTTACCTCTGACCATTTCTCTAACTTGCTAAGGTCATTTTGAATTATGTCCCTATCCTCCAAAGAAGTTGCAACCCCACCCAGTTTGGTATCATCTGCAAACTTAATAAGAGTACTCTCTATCCCAATATCTACATCATTGATGAAGATATTGAACAGTACGGGTCCCAAAACAGACCCTTGAGGAACTCCACTTGTTATCCCTTTCCAGCAGGATTTAGAACCGTTAACAACAACTCTCTGACTACGGTTATCCAGCCAATTATGCACCCACCTTATCGTGGCCCTATCTAAGTTATATTTGCCTAGTTTATCAATAAGAATATCATGCGAGACCGTATCAAATGCCTTACTAAAGTCTAGGTATATGACATCCACCGCTTCTCCCTTATCCACAAGGCTCGTTATCCTATCAAAGAAAGCTATCAGATTAGTTTGG